AGCTTGGGGCTCTTTCTCTCGTTTTATTGTCGTTTTATGCCTCTCTGTAACTGTTTCTGTCGCTCTGTCTGTGTCTGTTACTCTCGCCCACATTGAATGGGCTTCTTAAATCACATTTTAACTGCAGGATATGGGAATAGATGAATGGTGTGATGGCGAAATCATAGCTGCTTTTGTGCTAAAACTGCACACTGTAGTCACTGGGATTTGGAGAAAGGATGAAAAATCATCACAACTCCCCTTGTTAAAAACGATATAACGGTCGGTTCACGTGTGCTGTGAAAACAGATTTACTCTTCTGTTGTTGCACTGCTAACACTTTGTTCTCTCAAAAAAAAGGGGGGGAGGAGGGTTAAGCTCAATCAAATAAAGCTGTAAAATAAACGTGTATCAGGTAGATGGATACCTGATACAGCGTCTAATACTACAGTCACATTGGGGGAAACAGTAGTTGAAGATTACAGTTCAACTAAAATTAATGCAACTGTGTGAAATGAACTTGCAATCTAGTTGCATTTGAAATGGTTGCTTCAAAGATGGTGAACAGGTCTGCAATCACTGGCACTCGGTTGCTTCTTACTAAAGCAAGCGAGCACCAAAGGGACTTTGGTACAAAGATGGCAATAAACAGGTGGTAAGATGGTGTTTGTCAGCCATCAGTTTGCGATTAAATGGGATCAAGTAGGCAGTTACATTTAGTCTAAATTAGTCAACATTGTAAATCTGTTGCCATCTACATACATTTACATTAAACATATTATTAACACTGTAACTACTTACATTCAGAGTCCAGCCACAGCCTCTTAGACTTGAAATAGAAGTTCCAAAATTCCTCAACAAATAGTGACGTAGTTGCTGCAGGATGGTAATTTCATTGCATTTCAAAGATGTATGCTGTGCATTCCACCCTGTAAAAAGAACAGTTCCTTAAAAAACTAAAATTACTGTGACATTCATCCTCAACGATGAGTGGATGTAAACCTCTGACCACAACTGTACTGGGGCTATAACCAGAATACAGGCAGTGCGTAACCAGTCCAGTCGAATCTTCTCTTGCAATTAGACATCTTGCAGAGATGTTGCATATCCTATTAGATTGATTTCAAGTGAGTCTGTAGATTGTATCAGTCTGTGTTTATAAATTAGATGCTAATTATTTGCAAGACTTTGCTAATCTGTCTGAGAGTGACTGTAATAAGTCCAAGTTGGACCACAGTCGTTAGAAACAGGTTGCCTCCCATCAAGTAACCATTGCAATCAGCTAGCGATTAAAAGTGGTCTCCTAGAAGCTGAATATTTTGCACGCTGGCATAATTGTAGAAAAACATTAAATGGGTAATTTCAGTAATGTCATGAAAACAAAAACAAGGAGCCAAATAAGAAACTGTAATAGCAGAAAGAAAGTTTTTGTAATAAGCAGAAAATGCACTTTTGTCTGCTGTATTTTTCCAGTGTGCAGACTACGGACGTAATCACTCACAACAATGCTGAGCCTTTCTTCCTCAGAGTAATTTTTATGTTTGCATTCACTGCCAGATGTACGTCTTTTCCTGCCTCACGCAGCAGCAGACCTCTTCACATTTCAGCATTTTAAATACTATTGATTGGCTGAGCTGAACTGCAATCTGTGCCGTCTGATTTGGCACAGACTCAACTCAGCGCTGAACGTCAGTCAACAATCAATCTAAAATAAGGAAAGCAAGACATGCTCAACCTGCCATGTCTGTTTGTTCAAAATGAATAGTGCCCATGCTGTTTGAGAGCCAAGCGTTATTTAAAAAATGTAAATTTCCCTTCGGCATAAAATTGCTAAAGTTAAACAATAATTGCTCCGTTTTTTCCACTTTCATTAAAGTCTCGTGGAAAAATCCAAATGTAATTACATGTGCTGTTACTGTTGGAAGCTCATTTCAGTTTCTCTGCAGGTTTTTCCGTGCCTCCAGCAAGTGCTCTGATTGTTTAGAAGAATTCATTAAAACAACAGAAATACATTTGTGAACTGATGAACAGGCCCAGTCATTTTAAGTATTACTTTTCCCCTGATGTGATTTTACAAAGACACAGTCGTCATAGGCCCATTTCACCACTGATTCAAAGTTTTTCAAAATAATTCTAGGGATCATTGGTCATTGTCATCATTCCTGTCCTACCTGACAAAATGAATATGCCAATTCAAAGCTTCATGTTGGGATATTGGCTGTCATCTGTAGGTTTGTTTGTTAATAGAGTTGTGGCCCCGGAAACCTTTGGCTGTCTAACAACGAGTATTCCTCCACATCGAAAACTAAAAACACGCTGAAAAAAACCCTTTTGATTTGGTTAACTTGGTCTGCTGTTACATTC